TACAAAATACTTGTCTGAACCACAGCCACAAACACTTTGCCCTACTCCACTTATGTAATCACATTCAGAAATAGTTTTATGGTTTATTGGATAAAAATAGTTCTTCAGAAAGCCATATTAACAATTATTTCCTGCTCTTGCTAATCCTAGAAGAAAACCTACCAAACAAGCAAAAACCTGCAAGATTATATTCTCTATATGTGTATTTCCACTTACTTCAGAGATTTCTCTTCATTATAAGAAATTTGGTGTAACACCTTCAGTCTATGTATGTTGGCATTAAATTTTCAGTCAGCCTGTACTATTCCCAGCCAGCAGCTGTTGTGTTTGCACGGGAACACAGTGGCTCTTGTGCTTCCATGGGCCACCAGTAATGACATCCCAGTGTTGATGGTGCAGCAATGTGCATTTGTTCAAACTGCTACTTTTATTTACACTTTTTTTCTGTATGTGCACAAACATCCAGAGTCACATACATTGAGAAATGTGAGACAAAACCTGCCCATGATTAACTTCAAAACAGCCCCACTAAAACCCTTGCTTCCTCTATCAGATTTTCTTCTGCAAGCAGATACATGAAAATGAAGAACTGCTCATATTTCTTAACGAGGTAAAATTTGTAAGAAGTTAAGATCGTGAGCACGTCAGGAAAAAAATTATACTCTATGTTCACAGAAATTTTGTTCAGATTTAAAACAGAAGCAAGTAACATCAGGTTAATTTGAGTTTGAAAATAATTGCTCTATGTTTATGTTAGTTGGTTGGACAACTTAAGATAAACCTGTACCTTCGGACTAATAAAAGATGCTAATTGCCCCTGTCACTATTGTTTGATTTCACCTGCAGGCCATCATGGCTACAGCAACCCTACACTATTAATTTCTTATTACATACCACAACTTCTTTTAGACAGAAATTAATCTGGGGGGGAAAAAAAACAGTAAAACAGAAAAAGTGCTAGCTAAACTCAACTACCTATAAACAATACTGGACTCTCCCATTAGCTTGCAGTATTTCATTGCCTTTTAACTCCACTTTGTAGCATTTTGCTCTGGAGTCAACACCTTACTCATTAATGTGATATGCTTTTAAAGCATAATGGCAATGCTTTCCTAGCCCCATTCCTTCCCTCTGCTAGAGAGCATTGTATGATGAAGAACTCACTTCAGGGACCAAGCAATGATTCCCAATCTTCAACTGTACAGTCGAGGATGTATTAAAAGTACAATACTGCCTTTTTAATTTGAAACGTTATTCTTGTCGTTAGCAATTTTCATTTCCAAAATGTGCCTAGAAAATTGAACTAAAGAAAAGTTTGATCTATGGATTAGTTACATCATTCTGAAAAAAAAGTCATCACATTCATGCTTTGCAGGTCTAATAAAAGATGCATATAACTCAATAAAGTTGAAGATTGTATACAACTAGTATAGTCCAGTGGCATATTTATGTACTGTCATGTTAACTGTTGCTTAGGTTCACAGGGCAGTAAATAACTTGTCTGCTGACTTTCATATTACACAGATGGAAGAGTTATGTATGTGAAAGCAGATGCAGGCCTTCTACTTTTTCTTCCTTAGTTGTTTATTATGTTGTACTTAAAAAATGAAAAGGTGTTGGCTCACACAAAAGGCCTCTTCCAATTTTTAGTCTTCTAGATGCCTGCTTTTGGATTGCTATCTGACTCTGAAAAGTCTTAGACCTTTTCATCCCCACTTATTTTATTCTGAGTTTAGAGTTGCCCTCTGAGTAAAAATTCTTCACAGACTTACTGTGCCTAGCTTCTGAGATAACCAATTTGTGAGTCACTTTTGCCTGCTCTGTCCATCAGCCCTGTTGCCCTCTAAATGCATGTAACACTTGAAAAATGGCTTATCTTTGCAAAGGGAATAACTGCTCAAAAGTGCTCAGATATGATAAATGATAAACACAGTTTATATATACACTGCAAAACAGTGTATTTACTGTTCTAATTATGCTGTCATATAACCAATATCCAGAAAAAATTACATCATTTTTGAGAGGTTCATTATGCAATAAACAGTAACATGTTGAGACGGGCAGAAATGAGACTCCCTGTAGCATATTTGCTATATTGCCCTGACACTTATTCATGTGACAAATCATTAAATGAGGGAAAGAGATTACAGCTACATTAACTAATCCTTAATTAGCCTCCACATTTCCAAAGGCCACATAGCACATGAAATCTCTGAAAACAATTTTATTCCTAGAAGAATTATGTATACTATCTTCAGTTCCTACTGGAAAATTCAGACACACAAAGTAATCCTTTTGCAGGAGAATTTTTTTTTTTTTTTTTTTCCCCACAGATTTTGCTCTCTGCTGCCTAGAACTACCTAAACAACATGAAGGAAACTATTGAAAGATCTCAAAGAAGTGGAAGGATAACAAAGCTCTAAATAAGTTCTTCAGCACATTACTTGTAACAAAGTACTTAGGTTTGAATTCCTTATTTCATGGGAGGCTCTAGAAACAAAATATGACTGCAGTGTATTTTGCTGACACAGCTGCTTCTTAGAACATAGCAGTCACTCCCTGATTTTTATGTGATTCTTCCTTCCTAAAAACAAGCAGGCCTTTTCTTGATATCAAGACTGCTTAACTTTCTCTCAGAACACTACAGCCAGGAAAAATGATAGCTTTAGTTAGTCAGAAATCAGAAAATCTCCAGTTTTACACTGGCTTAACTAAGATTAGAATTTGATCTATTAAAGTGATTTGTTGAGACATGCTGTGTGAAAGAAAAAAAGCTCAACAAGATGTAATTTTATAAGGCTGTTTGCTGACCACCAGCTGTTGGCCAGCCCAGAGAGCAAAGCCAACCAAGAAAGCAGATGATACCATCTAGTGGCTCCCACCCTTTGGCACATGTCTCACACTTCCACAGACCCGCAAACTCCAAAACTCCTGCTTGGCAAAGCTGTACTCACAGCAGTACCTTTGAAGAAAGTATCAGAGAACAGATTGTTCCTGTCAGAGTGGAGGGAAGGTGTTAAAGGTAAGGAAGGTATCTTGGAAGGGGGAACCCAACAATCTGAGCTCCCTGTGAACCTTCCTGTTACCTTGTAATTACGGGCACTGCTCCAAAGCTGTATGGAAGGAACAGCTCTGTGGCACCAGAGAAGGAAGGAGTGGAAGAAGAACGCAGTTTCCAGTAAAGAGAGTTCATTCATTTAAGTCTTTTCTCTATGCTGAGCTGTCTGCCTTTTCCTAGCACAGCTAATCTTTACCAGAGCTGAACTTAGAGCAATCCCCCCCGAACAGATTTTAGATGAAGCAACCAATATACAACATCTACCATTTCAGTACTAAAATATTACCAGGATGTTTATTCCACCATGCAATTTCCAACTTTTTCTACTTAGTGGCTGCCACGATTTCCTCCTCTCACCCCCAAGTCTCACAGATCCCTGTCTCCTTAAAACTTTCCCGTAACCTCTCAGTCTTTGGCCAATTCTGTCTCTTTGGTCTCCTGAAGAAAACAGAAGCCTCTGTCAGCTAAAATTTTGTGCTGCCTCTCCATCTTTGCTTGTTACTATTTGGGAAATACTGGTCAAGAGTATATTCAGCAGTATGAAGGAGTGGCTAAATGATCAGGGATGTAAGTCCTAATGATTTGGAATCTTTTCTGGTTCTTTAACTTTCTGTAGGATTTCAGACAAGGTGCATTTTCTGAGCCTTGTTTTTTCCACAAATGCAATATATGCAGGGATAGGCTACATCCTTATTTACTATTCACCAGTTTCTAAAATTCTATTTTAAAAATGAGAATTGCTCTTTTAGAATTGCTCAGCTATTTATTTTCCAAGCCGCAGATCATCTCCTTCCTGCAACAGAGCAACAAAACACATCATACTGGCACTGCCTGACAGATTAAAATGAGATTCTGAAGATCCACACTTGCCAGAGAAGCAGAGTAAAATATAAGCCTGCTCTCAGAGATGTCAGTGCCCTTCAGTAGAAGCAGGAAATCTGGACTCCAAAATGGCATAAACCCAGGTCTGCGCAGACTGATTTGGTTACTGCTACAGGCCTGCATAGGGCAATAAAAACTTTCCCACAAGCTACCTCATAATGACTTAAGGCACATATTCTTGCAGCTAGATCTGTGTTACTGTAGCCAGGCAGTGTCTGCTACCAGAAAAGTCCTTTCAGCTTTCTCCGTAGTGCTCCACCACACTCAGGGTAAACACTGGTTTGGCGACAAAAACTGGTGCTGGCCGGTGGTCTGAAGCTTCACCTGTCACAGCAACAGACATTTGGTCAAAAGGCTCTGGGTCTAGACAAGAGACATCCTCATGCAAAACAGCCAGTCGTGTGCTAAATAACAGTAGGTTTCTAATTGACCTCGGGTGATTAGGAAGAGGCTTATAATCACGTCAAACTACCTGCAAATGATCATTTATGTAAGAATGTACTGGGTTTCTTGCATCATCTGCTTAATCTTCTAAGGATTTAAATGTGATCTGTTTTGCTTTCTCAGTTACAGCAGCTAGAAATCTGGTCAAGTTTTAACCTGAAGGTAAATTATTATGAAAATCTTTCTTCCTAGCTTGTTCTTTTAGGAGGTATAGTTTTCTTTCTTTAATTCTGAATTGAAATGTATACCAGTATTAATTTCTATAAATAGCAGAGGACTAATATTGGAACACAAACTCCTCAAAAATTTGGAATATTTTAATAATCTTTTTTGATCAACAGTGTGCAAAAGTATAGTTTTTTCATAGGGACTTCAAGGAATTACTTTTGGTTTTCTAGCTGCCTTTGAAGAAAACTCAGTTTCCCTAGCTACATTCTGCAAACAAGCTGCAGTGAGAATCTTTGCCTGCCGATGAAATTCTGACTATTTCAATATGGCCTAGTTTAGGCAGGCTTTTTTATTTTCAGTCACTTTAGAACTAGTCTGAAAGTGCAAATGACTGCCAATACCACAGAACACGACTCTTCTTGCTGAGAACCGTGCCTCTTTCTCACAGGAATACAAAATTTCAAGCTTTGAGCAGAGGCTGATGAATGAAATTGAGTTTCGCCTGGAGCGTACGCCGGTGGATGAGTCAGACGATGAAGTGCAGCACGAGGAAATCCCTACAGGCAAATACATAGCACCCATCTTTGATAAGCGACTCAAGCATTTCCGGGTAACGGAAGGATCTCCTATTACATTCACTTGCAAAATAGTTGGAATACCTGTTCCCAAGGTAGGTCATTCTCACCTGATTCCAAGAGAAATTTCATAAACCCCCCAGAAATGAACTTCTGAGAAAGATGAGAATTGATCTGTGATAACCAGTGATGTGTCTATAGCCAAGAAAAGAGGACCTGACAGGCCCGGCTACGTAGAGGAAATGCTTTCTGAGTTCAGCCTGGAATCGTTCTATTTCACATCGTAGCTGATCTGCAAATTTTATAATATTCTCAAATTTTTACTAGCAATTGTCCTGTCATCTATATTTTTTCTAGTCACTATTCCACTACAGAGCAAGTGTTAAGTCATGGGTATGTGTGTGGGGGGTGTTGTGATCTCTACAGGTTTACTGGTTCAAGGACGGCAAGCAGATTTCAAAGAAAAACCCACATTTCAAAATGAGCAGAGAAGAAGATGGAACATGTTCTTTACATATTGAAACGTCTACTAATGATGATGATGGCAACTATACGATTATGGCTGCAAACCCACAAGTAAGACGTTTTATTTTCCTCTATAAAAATGCTTGTTTCTTCACTTTTTAATATATGTTAATAGGCACAAAGATGGGGTCACCTAGTCTGACATGAAATGGTGACTGTATCAAAAATCAGATGCTTCAGAGGACAGGAGAGGAAACCATGTAATGAAGAATGACAAAACTGCTCCCCTGTTCTGTCACACCATAGTCACAATCATTAAGGACATTTTTTCACACTAATAACTCCTGCCCTATGTTCTGACACCCCCCTCTGCTGCTCCTAAGATATCTGTTGAGATATGGTGACAAGACAGTCATGATATTTCAGGCAGGAAAAATAAAGCAAGGGGAAATGAAAAGTTACATCTAATTTGGAAGCATTACCAAATACAATTATTCTTTATCTAGGATGCAAAGATGTTGATCTACAAATCGTCTCATCCCCTAACACCATTCTCCTTCACCCCATGTGCTAGCTTAGCTGTTTATTTAGCAGCACACACAAGTAGGTCAGGCAACTTTTTCCAGTTTGTTTCTTATTTTTCTGAACTATATTTCAGCCCAGCTACTTTTCAGTTTCTGTGTGGCTGCATAAACAAGTACACTAGCACAAAGGCCCTAGCAGGCAGTGCCAGTGGAGACACAGTGGCAGGAATGGACAAGCACAGACAGACACTGCTTAGGTTGGTTTACCCAGCACCACTGCTAAACGTGTTGCTGCAGCCTTGAGGAGTCAGAGAAACACTGCTCTGAGCACACAGAGAAACCCCTGCTGCAACTGCACCCCACCACACACTAAAAGCATTTGCTTTGAAGAAGTAGAATTTGTACTATAGTTCAGTCACTTTAAAAAAAAAATAAATCGTAATACATTGTAAAAGTTAAATATTTATACCTTGAAATAAAATGAGCTATTAACCACCTATGAATCCCATTTCCATTGTGATTTGCAGGGGAGAATCAGTTGTTCAGGCCACCTGATGGTTCAGAGTACCCCCATTCGGGGCCGAATATCAACAACTCAGCCTCACAGGTAAAAGGAAAGACAAGTGTTTCAGACCCTCTTTATGCTTCTTACTGAAAGTATACCAAATAACTAGCTATAGTACTTAATGCACTATGCACTCTGTACTTCAGTTCTGAACCATAAAATGGAAACAGTACCAGCAGTTCCCTCCCAACTGGTCACCTGTAGAATGTTTTTCTATATCTGAAGGTTGTCTTCCAATAAAGGGAAGTTTAAGTATTTCATTTACCTGTTGCAATGGAGTTAAGGGCAATTTACCTGTTGCAATGGAGTTAAGGGCAAGGGATGGATTAGTAAGATTAAATTCAGGAAAAAAAAAAAAAAAGAAAAAAAAAAGAGGGAAGGACAGCTTGGGAATCCAAAGATATTACATGATATAGTTAATGTGATAATCTTTCTAAATGGAAAACATGCAAGTGTTAAATTACAATCAATCCATTTCTTTCTTTAACCCAAGCTATCTGTTTATCATTTTCCACAATTTCTTCCCTTTTTTAAGCGTTAGGGAAAAAAAAACAAGATTGACTTCCAAACACCCCCATGCCATTTTTGTATTGCAGAACACGACCCTGGGTGCCAGAGGGAGACAAAGAGGCAGTTCAAGAACGCTTTTTCAGGCCGTACTTCCTGCAGGCTCCAGGTGACATGGTAGCACATGAAGGACGACTCTGTAGGTTGGACTGTAAGGTATTGGCTGGGTCCTTGGTTCGTTCTCACTTTTC